TTTATTATTTTCCTGCCAATTTTTTTTGTTCATTTCTATTTCATAAACTATTAATAATTAAAACATTTTTTGTTTGCTATGTTTGTTAATATTTTTACACCTTTAACGTATAGCAAAGATAAATAGTGCTAGTGACATTGACATTGAAAAAAGCAAAAAACTGAAAAAAATAAACTTATTTCATTTGTAAATAACTGTCAGGGGAAAAGACGAGGAAGCCCTGGCAAATGTGCCAATGCCCAATATGGCCACACTAATTTGTGCAAAAATGTGCACATAATCATGTATCTTTGTGTACAAAAGTGCACCAGCACACACAGGTCGCAATAATTGCTGACACTCAGTGGCCTTTATAAGGATTGCAGTTTCTCACAATAATTGCTGTATTTTCATCAGCCCTCCTGTTCCCGTGTTCCTGTGTGTATTCTCCTGCTGATTGTCTGTTACTGACTTGACCCCTACCTGCTTTTGCTCTCCTCCTGGCTCCCTATCTCAGCTTGTCTCTTGGATCTGCTCCTGCTTACTCCTGATCAATTACCTGTGTATGACCCCAGCTTTGTCCTGACCTTGCTCCTGTCTGATGCTCTGTGTATAATCCTGGCTCTGGCTGCTGACTTTGCTTTCTGCTCTGCCCATCCACCTGGATCCACGGGTCCTCTGGAGGACCTCCTCCTGCATCTGGTCCACCCATGGGTATCGTCTCATCAGGCATCACCAAGCATCCATACCATTGGAAACCCGTGTTTCTTTGGGCACTGTATCTTCTGTTACCACATTCAGGGGTGCATTGCACTCAGCTGTAAGGGGAGCTCTCTCTTCACCTCAGCCTCTGGTCAGGTACATGACAATAACTTTTCAATGCTTTGTACCAGAATCATAACTTCAGTGTTATTTTAAACAGGACAAATTACTGAATAAAATATGCACTTTTTATGTGCAACAACACTAATTATTTGTAAACTTACACTATTCAAAAAAATTCACTGGGGGTGAAGTGGCAGAGGAATCCTGGCCTGGTGGAGAGGGCATAGGCTCAGTGGTGCCCCTCCTAAATGCAACATTTAAAGAGAAGGATGTGTAGTGACATGGGACACCACATTTTACAAAGAAACTCTGTAGGTTATACAGCTGCACACATTGTATGGCTCATTTCTAGGCCAGGGTTCCACCATTATGTTGCCTATCACATGAATGTGGTTCTGCCTGGTCCAAGGCATTGATGAGCTCATGCACGACCTACAGTACCCCTGTGTGCATGGGTGAGGTGGCCCTGTCCACAACAGACTTTACTCAACAACTGAAAGGTTTCATTAAAACACTATTAACCCACATACATTCAGAACTCAACAGTGCAATTGTAGAAAATCCAGAAATTGGGAACTTCTATTTGTTGCCGTAGATGCACAAGCTAGGAAATCCAGGTAAACCCATTACAACAGGTATGAATACAATTATGCAGCTGCAGCAACTTTGAGCCTCTCCAAGTTTCACAGACTGCCCACAGTGGGGCAGGACAGTGCACCTGTGCCTTACACTAACACCTACAAAAACTCAGGCTGGAGCCATTGCTGACTGCAGAGGATATTAAGAAGCTTCTTCTAAATGCAGTTGTGGGCTTTATTGTTCAAACAGAAAGGGAGTCCTGGCAGGAAGGTATGTTTAGTGCAGTATGCTGCTATACCCATATGTGTTTTGTTTTTTTTAGGGGTGAACTTACACTTTAACTTCACTGTTGTGTAAAAACAGACATGTACTTTTAAAAAGAAGCGCATACTGAAATGAATCAGTAAAAGCGAATTAAAGCTAAAATAATTTTTAAAACAAATTATAGTTAAAGAATATGTAAATCCAACATTTCATATTCTTGATATGTGCCTACTGTACCACGAGAAAGTATTATGTTCTCTTTGTATTGCTACCTTTGTGGGAAATTCCTTTTCTGACAATCCCTCTGCTTTCCTATTAAAAACTGACCACACTAAGCTGGAGAGCACACTGTGGTCAGTTTTTAGCTGTGCTGAGAACTCAGCCTGCTTTCATTCAATGTTCAGATGTGTCCTAACATGACCCTCCAGCCACCCATCATCTATAGCACTCATCCTAGAATTTGTTCTTCAGGTCTGAAAGGAGGTGGGCAGATTGTCAGGTGTGGACAGAAGCCAAGAAAAAATACTGGGACTAAACTCAGACGTAAGAATAATGAATCCTTACAGGTGGTGGATGGGCCGGCAGGAACAGAAGCTGATAGAAGATGCCAGGCCTATAGCCAGGCCAATCTAAACACTAAGCAGTACAGGTACAGTGTGATTATGTCCTGCTGTTTTCCCTAAGGATAAGATTGCTTTAGGTTTGATTGTTCCTATGGGCTCAGAGGACTTTTCTTAATAGATCCTAAAGTGACTTTGTACTATTAGATGAATATGGATGACAGCAATATGCTTTTTGTGTCTTCTTATAGCTGACTCTTAGGACTCATTTACACTTGCGGTTGGGGGCAGTAAAACATGTGGCTGAGCCTCACTTTTACTGCCCCCCTATTTCCCCCCTTAAAAGGAGAAGTATAACCAAAGCTATTTTGCCTATACTTCTCCTGGGGAACACAGGATTGCAATTTGTCCTGCACTCCTGTGACCCTTCAGCCGACAGAGGGCTAAAGCCCGCTGTTGGCTGGCATCACTGAGCTGATCCAAGCTCAGGAAAGATCCTGATTTTACAGTCTGGATCCAGCTAATTGCCTGGATTGGTAGCTGGCTCAGCCTAAGGGAGCCACTCTCTTCTCCTTCCCAGCCCAGCACTCCAGTGAGCGCTGAAGGGGTAGAGCAGGGAGCCAGTGACTGACAGTCACCTCTATCTGCTCACAAAAGCCTGAGAACTGAGTGATAATTGGCCTTTGACCACTCAGTTTTCATTCTTAGAACCGGCGGGGGACAGATGCAACATCAGACCAATGCTGCATCTACCTAGGTGAGTATAAGTGTTTAATTTTTTTTTAAACCGATACTTCTCTTTTAAACTGCAAAGGAAGCAGCTGTGGGTGTACAGATGCCATGGGCACTATAATTTGATTTGCAGCTGCTGCTGGAGTTATACTCTTTATAACTTTCAGTATGTACTACCATCTGCTGAATGCAACCCATTAAAATGAATGGGGCCACACTGCAACCTCCCCACAACTGTGTGCAATGCACAATCCAAATGCAGATTGCTTTTCAGAGGAACAGCAGTCATTTAATATACAGGGTACACAATAAAATCACTATGCAATAAAATGAAATTAATTGGTGACATACAGATGGGTGTAATGGAAGCTGCAATGTGGGGTGTTGTATCCAAGAGCTGCAATATATTTAGTGCCTGTTTGCATGGGGATGTACGGAACACCTGTACATCCCCATGAAAACACATGCGCAGAAGTGGCATCATCTCAGCTCAGCCAATAAAAATGGCTAGATATCAGTACCTGGAAGCCAACTAGCCAAAAATTATCAGCAGCCAGCTGGGAGCTCCGTGACATTACAACACGAGAAAAGGTGACTATAGTTCGGTTTTAAGGATTCCTGCATTGTTAGTGGTTTGTGATTCATAGTATCCGTGGTCAATATTTTTCTATTCTACCACTTATCAAGAGCTGCTGGACCAACAGGCCCTTGTCTAGAGAGCTCCCCCCCATCCCCTTTTTTTTTCCTTTTCCTTCTCTTACCATTTGGTTGCTTTCTCATGCTCACTGTATCACAAAATAAAAAAAATCCCTTGTTGAAAGGCAAAGGGTCAGGTCTCTGGCGGACAGCTAGTTTGGGAGTATTACTTACTGTTGCTGAGGTATATTTCCGGTCTCTGGAAAGTCTCTACAAATGCTAAAATATAACGTTACCACAGCAGGTTCTAGGTGTCGTGAACCTTCCTCGAGTTGTTGTAGTTATTACTATGTACTGACTCCTCAGCTGCGTCTGTGCTGCCTTACTATTGTGATTACGACAGTTTGTGTGTTTACACACTCTGTTAACCCTTGTGTTTCATAAAACAAAGAGCTGTAAAAAGATATATATATATATATATATATATATATATATATATATATATATATATATATATATCTAGATATATATATATACTGTATAGAGCCAAAAATATTGTGATGCCTGCCTTTACACCCATATGAACTTTAATGGCATCCCAGTCCTTAGTCTGTAGGGTTCAATATTGAATTGACTCAACCTTTGCAGCTGTAGCAGCTTCAACTCTTCTGGGAAGGCTGTCCACAAGGTTTAGGAGGGAATGTTTGATCATTCTTCCAGAACGCATTTGTGAGGTCAGGCATTGATATTGGATGAGAAGGCCTGGCTCACAGCCTCTGCTCTAATTCATGCCAAAGGTGTTCTATCGGGTTGAGGTCAGGACTCTGTGCAGGCCAGTCAAGTTCTTCCTCCCCAAACTTGCTCATCCATGTTTTTATCTACCTTGCTTTGTTCGCTGGTGCACAAGCATTTTGAAACAGGAAGGGGCCATCCCCAAACTTTTCCCACAAATTTGGGAGTATGAAATTGTCCAAAATGTCTTGGTATGCTGCGCCTTAAGAGTTCCCTTCACTGGAACTAAGGCGGCAAGCCCAACCCCTGAAAAACATCCCCACACCATGATCCCCTCTCCACCAAATTTTACACTTGGCACAATGCAGTCAGGCAAGTACCATTCTCCTGGCAACCACCAAACACAGTCCATCGGATTGTCAGACAAAGAAGCATGATTTGTCACTCCAGAGAACACATCTCCACTGCTCTAGAGTCCATTGGTGGCATGCTTTACATGACTTCATCTGACGATTTGCATTGCACTTGGTGATGTAAGGCTTGGATGCAGCAGTGTTGTTGTGCTAATATGAAGGCCAGATGAAGTTTGAGGTCTTTAGCTATTGACTCTGCAGACAGTTGAGACTTCTGCACACTGTGCTTTTCAGCATGCGCTGACAACAATCTGTTATTTTACGTGGCCTACTACTTCATGGGCTGAGATGCTGTTGTTCCCAGTTGCTACCACTTTGTTATAATACCACTAACAGTTGACCGTAGAATATTTAGTAGCAAGGAAATTTCACGGATGGACTTATTGCACAGGTGGCAACCTATCATGGTACCACGCTTGAATTCACGGAGCTCCTGAGAGCGACCCATTCTGTCACAAATGTTTGTAGAAGTCTGCATGCCTAGGTGCTTGATTGTATCCACCTGTGGTCATGGAGGCGATTGGAACACCTGAATCCAATGATTTGCAGGGATGCCCCATATGTTTTGTGTGTGTGTGTGTATACATTTGGGAAATAGTTTTTTTTAGTGTTTATTTAATATTTTACAAAAAAGATAGTGTGTTTTGTTGCATTGACCCCCCCCCCCCAAAAAAAAAAACTGTAGACGTACAAGGAAACAGCACTATTTGCTTGGTTGCCATATGTTTAAGCTTGTGTACATTTTAAATAGTGAAAGGGAATTGTTTCTGTAACATTCTATCTCAAAATGTTATAGTTTCTCAAAAATAATTGTTTTTTTTTGGTTCATCTCTGGGCCAGCTTGCTAGGATCAATCAGGTTACATATGTAAAAGCCTTTATTAGATCCTGTGACATGGCTTACTCTGATGCACTACCTCAGGCAGAGAAAATTGTTTTGAATTTTAAATTCTGATCGCAGAATGTTAGAACAGCAGTATCAAGTTCACACACTTGATTATAATGTGTGATTAATTCTGATTGCCAGTCAGTGAACATATTGCTCCAAGATAATTGTAGTAACATTTTCTTCAAACAAAGGGCATGTAATGTGATGAAATGAATACTGATTAGGCATCCGCAACTGTAAGCAAGTGTTTTGTTTTTTTTTTTGTAGCAGGCTTCAGCTCAAGGGTTGTATCTACTTTAAGAAATAAGGAAAGGTAACAGAGACTATGATGGTATAGTATAATAGGCATACAGTTACCTATCTGCTATAACAAAGAGACTCCAATGTTCTGCGGCAGGAGTGTCCAACCTTCTGACCTTCCTGGGCCACATTGGAAGAAGAGAAATTGTCATTGGCCGCACATAAAATACACTAACAATAGGGATAGCTGATGAGCAGTTCCTCCTGCAGTTCTCAGTGGGTAGGTGCGGCCACTGGAGGCCACACTTCTCTGCATAGCCAGCGATTACCTGCGGTGATCACTGCTCGATGTATTTTTGTCTGCGGCCGCACCTACCCACTGAGAGCCGCAGGAGGAACAGCTGCTACAATTCACACTGGCCCTAATCACTTGTGTGAATGTAACTTATGTATGTGCTATGTGGGGGGAGGTCAGGGGGCCTTGGGGGGTCCAATTTAAACCTGAAGAGGCACAGCCCTTCCCAGCACCTCCTAGATCCAGCCATGCAGCATTTACTTAGCTGGTGCCCGTGAATTCCTTGCTGCCAGTTCTATTGCAAACATGGCAGCCTGGGATCCCTCCAGATGTGCATTTGTCTAATTTGTCAAAGCAGACTGCCCCTCCACATGGGCCTTGCCACATGCTAAATTCTCTAGGGCCACATTTAGCCCATGGGCAAGACACCCCTGCTCTATGGTGCCATGTCATGTGGCCTACACTCTGTATTAGGTCATATTACAGGCATTTTGGATACTGATGCCAGCAAATTCTTTATTTATTCCCCTTCACTAAAGATTCTGTTGATGTCAGAGCTCCAGTATATTCCTGCCAGGTCATTAGGTCACATTACCTAGAACTGGAATGCTACAGCATCTCCTTGCTACAAATAAGTATATGCTTATGCTAAGCCCTCAATTTGCTTTCTGCTTAATGCCTGCCTAATTATGCAGAATCAATTTAAACAATATGTTTTGGTATGTTTCATTAGTAAACATGAAAAAGATGTTCAACAAACATTAAGTTCTCTTATGACTTGGATGAGTCCACTAGATGTAACAATTCAAAAACACTTGCTTTATCTTTGAAGGACTCCTAAGGCAGTATATAACAAATGAAGTTTCTGGTTTTTGCCACCCAACCTTAATGGACTCTTACACTTGTTACTTTCTTCATGATGTAATATTTATATTAGTAATTCAACAATGATACTGAGAGCCCCCTCATACAGGTTATGCTTGATGAGTGGAGCTGAGAGCTCAGATGCCACCAGATTTCCCACCGTAGATATAGGAAACTTGTAGGAACACATATATATATATATATATATATATATATATATATATAATAGTGATTTTAAAAAGAATTAAAGGGTAAATAAAAATTTACAATAATATGCAAAGTGAATGTTAGAATTATCAATCAGCTGCTGCACTTGTAGAGTTCTGTTGAGAAAAATGGCAGGGTCTGAATCAGGGGTGGACTGACTATTTGGAAACTCGGGCACTGCTCGAGGGCCCGGGGTCAGTAGGGGGCCCCATGAGATGCCCCTGATACCTTTTTCATAGGCTTTTTTGAGTTTGGGCAAGGACACAGGGGCCCCATGACCCCCTATTGCCCGCGGGCCCCATGAGTTGTCAGTCCGCCCCTGGTCTGAATCCGTTTAGACATGATTTCCCTTTGGGAGTATCTCACCAAAAATTACATTTTCGTTGCAGGGGATGCCCAAAATCTGACTTGTAGCTTAGTGAAGACTACTGGGAAAATCAGTGAACCAATCAGGTAATGACATTTCTGGGGAGCGTTCCTTACACCAACTGTATACAGGACACCTCCAGTTTGCCATATTGCATTTTACAGAAAACTACAGTACTGCAGATTAAAAGGAAAATTAACCTTTTAATACCATTTAATTACAATATGATTTCTGATTCTGTTTACAAAGAAAAACAGTGCGCTATGCATATGTGTTCAAACCAAAAGCATTAAAATTGACAAATGTGATACAAAAACAAATAAACTCATGGAATGAGCAAGTGTTTAAAAATTGTGAAAATAAATTCTCCAACATGAATACAGTTGTCCTCAAATGTTTGCATACCCTAGCAGAAATTGTGAAATTTTGGGATTTATGTTGATAATATGACTGATCATGCCAAAATACTGGCTTTTATTTAAGGATAGTGATCATATGAAGCCATTTGTTATCACATAGTTGTTTGGTTCCTTTTTAAATTAGAATGATAACAGAAATCACCCAATTAGCCCTGATAAAAAGTTTACATACCCTGGAATGTTTGGCCTTGGTACAGACACACAAAGTGATACACACAAGTTAAAATGGCAATTAAAGTTTATTTCCCACATCTGTGACTTTTAAAACTGCTATTAGTGTCTGTATATAAATAGTCAGTGAGTTTATTAGCTATCATGTGGATGCATTGAGCAGGCTAGATACTGAGCCACGGGTAGCAGAAAAGAACTGTATAAAAGACCTGCGTACAAGGTAATGGAACTTTATAAAATGGGAATGGATATAAAAAGATATCCAAACCCTTGAATATGCCAGTCAGTACTGTTCAATCACTTATTAAGAAGTGGAAAGTTCATGGATCTCTTGATACCAAGCCAAGGTCAGGCAGACCAAGAAAGATTGCAGCCACAACTGCCAAAATAATTGTTTGGGATACAAAGAAAAACCCACAGGTAGCCTCAGGAGAAATACAGGCTGCTCTGGAAAAAGACATTGCGATTATTTTTTAAGGAACACAATACAACAATACTTGAACAGAAGGTAGCTGCATAGTTGAGTTGCCACAAAGAAGTCTTTATGGAGCCAATCCCAACAAAAAATCCCTGTTTCAATAATGTTGACAACACCCTGACACGCCTCATCGAGCTTTTCTGTGTCATTGGCACAGTAAAGGCTTCTGTCTGGCAACTCTGGTCTGCACTCGCAGTATTTACAGCCACGGCAGTTGGTGGGTTCCATAGCTGCTAGTGGGTTGTATCACAGCTATCGAATCAACCCACTTGTGTCCATTGTCGATCACAAGGAAGGAAGACTTCATGGGAAATTGGTCTCATGAAATCCCTATAAGGCTCTGCCCACTGTCAATGTTCAGCCCTGCGATTTTGGAGATTTCTCCAAAATCATCCATTCAAATCCACAACTTATTGGCCATATAATCCATTGTTCATGAAACCATTTCTTACTGTGTTGTGGGCTTCCTTGCAATGTCTTCTGCAAGCTAACCTTTCCTTTTCCCCTCCACTTCTTTTTGCGTTCTTGCGCTGCTTTATGCACAGTACAAATCCTATAGATCATAGTCTATGGCCCATAGTCCATCTTGGCTGCAATCAAATGAGTGTGGCTACATTCTTATTTACAGTGGAACAATGGAGCACAAATGTAGCCACCTTCTAAGAGGAAGTAATATCACAGCAGGGAAAAAAAAAAGGAATTCTGAGAGCAATAGAACTTTTTGGAGTTAAGAATACATACTTGAATATAATTGTTTCTTTTAAATCAGTTTTTTATGTTGTTTTGGATATATATATAACCTGGTTAGAACAATATACTTCTTCCACAACTCCTTACCTATATTTTGTACTTAGATCACTCTATAGTCTCTGATTAAAATCTGAAAATAATAACCCTTTGAAAACACTTTGAAAAAAGTGTCATGACCTCTAACTTAGAGAAATAAACAAATGCATATAGAAAAGTCCAACTGAGCTTACTTGTTAAATAGCAAAGACTAATAACATACAAGGTGGAGGGTGTTAGGACTGTTAGGAAGCCAGATTACTGGAGGATTAGTAAGTGAACTAAATTTCTACCTTAAGTTCAGAAAGTATATTTAGTGCATAGAGAATGCAAATGTGGCAAAAAAAAAAACCCTGTGAGAGTATTTATTTTACTGAAATATTGCCAATTTCCAAGAATGCCCATTTGTTCTGACAATTTGTATGACCTTTTCTCAGAGAGAGAATCAAAATGAGGACAACATCCTTGAATGTATCAAAATCAATAAAGCAAATTCCTAAATGCTGACTATACTTATAAGCAAGCAATGTAAATACCGAGTCATTCTGCCACTCTGCAGAATTCAAGTAGAAAGCCAGCATAAGCAATCCAGGGTAGGTAGAGGATAAACAACTTCAAAATAAAATAGTATCTTGTTGCCATTCTAACATTGAGTTAAAGGACACACTCTATATCTTTACTATCCTGTATGATATTCTGCTACTGTGCAAATGTACTTTCATGCTGGCTTACAGGAAATAGAAGACTGCAAACTTTGCACAAAACGTCACTCTCCATTTAGTTTTCAGAATACTTAGAACTTTCTCTGTGGGTAATTTGCACTTGCAAAGAAGTTT